GCAGGCAAGATTTCCAAGTGGGTCCTCACAGTATATTAGCACAACCACAAATAGGCAATGGTTGCATCACAGCCACACTTGGGGTGTCCCTGAAGGACAACGATAAAGGGAGAGGCACCCTGTGGCAGACCCTCCGGCTATATGGAGGAGAGACAGCCTGAGGTGCACAATCTGTACTGATTTATGACTAACAATTTAGCTGGCTGCTCAGGGACTTGAAACCATGACTGAGAGGTGATAAGGAAGAGGTGTGAGGAGAGATCCATAGATGGACTGCTAAAAACAGACCTAAGTGAGGAAGCAATATTTGTGTGTGTGTGTGTGTGTGTGTGTGCGTGCGTGCGTGCGCACACACGTGTATGTAGTAGTGGGGTTTGAACTCAGGGCTTTGGTGTTCTACCACTTGAACCAAGTCTCTAGCCTTTTTTGCTCTGGCTATTTTGAAGATAGGGTCTCACTTTTTGCCCAGGCTGGTCGGGACTACAATCCTCCTCTTCTACACTTCCCAACATTGCTGGGATGACAGGCGCACACACCCAGCTTTTTTCTATTGAGATGGGGTCTCAAACCACAATCCTCCTGATGTCATCCTCCCAAGTAGCTAGGATTACAGGAGTGAGCTACCAGTGCCCAGCTTGGTGAAACAATTTTTTAACTCACATGGATACTCTGAGAGAGCATCCATTGTGGAGGAGGCTCTCCACAATTGTGTAGACAAGGTGACCTACCTACAGCCGCCCTTGATCTTCCTCAGGTACGTGGAGGCCATGGGAGTAGGGATGGGGCCATGCACGGTGTGGTAGACAGATGTCCATGTTCTAAATCTCTGGGACCTGCAAATATGTTACATGCTAAATGACAAAGGGTGAATTAAGGTAGCATACGGAATTAAGGTTGCTAACCAGCTGATGTTAAAGATAGGATTGGCTTGAATTATCTGAGAGGACCCAATGTAATCACACGTATCTTCAAATGTGGAGGAGGGAGTGTCAGAGTGATATGAGGTGACTCGACTGGCCACTGCTGGGCTGGAAGGCAGGGGACCTCTAGAAAGCAGGAAAGGGCAAGAAAATGGATTCCATGAGAGCCTCCAGAAAGGCATGCAGACTTGTCTGCACCTCGATTTTAGACCAGTGAGACCCATTTTAAGTGTCTGACTTCCAGAACCCGAGGACACTGAGTCTGTGCTGTTTTACACCACAAGTTTGTGGCTGTTTGTTACAGCAGCTACACAAAACTAATACATACTAGCTTGACACATTTCCCTCACCACATTGGATCCACCCATTGGCATTGTTGGGTGTCCAAGCTGCCAACAGGCTGAGTTTCCTGAAGGCACCATTCCCTGGGGTCCCCAAGTGTCTTTTAGGAGTTCTGTGAGGTAAAATTAATATTAATTTCATTTTAATACTAAGACGTCGTTTGCCTTTTTTTCACTGTCATTCATTGAAGAGTATATAGAAGGGCTGGCAGAGTGGCTCAGGCAGTAGAGTGCCTGCCTAGCAAGTGTGAGGCCCTGAGTTCAAAGCCCAGTGCCACCAAAAAAAAAAAAAAAGTCTATAGTTGAATTTTCTGGAGGCTATCAAATAACATCCCTCATCTCATTTTTGTTTTGAAAGTTATTTTTCATTAAAATGAACTTATTCATTTTAATAAATATTTTGAAGCTTTAATTTCCAATCTATTACAATTGATAAACCACATCAACAAAAGCCCTTTGGGATTCTTGATCATTTAGTGAAAGTGTGAGGGGCTCCTGAGATAAAGAAATATTTGAGAAGCACTGCCGTCGAGGGAGCATCTCACTACCTGTTGGGAGGTTGCTTACACTGACCCCTCCCTTGCGGAGGCAGTGGTTGCTTGTCACCTCACGATACTCAGTGTGCACTGCTCATCTGGACTTGCCTTCCAATCTGAGTGGTGTTGCTGGCACCATCACTTCTGGGCTCCACAGAATGCCTTAGCCATCACTCACTGCCTACCCACCTTCATTTCTGGTGATGGACGTCTGGCAATGGTCTCACCATGGATTGCCCTGGTTTTATAGTGTTCTGCAAATGGGACAGAGCAGTGGGCAGTGCCAGCTGGGGAACATCGCTCTGTAAATCTGGGTTGTTGGCGGGAAGGAAGCAGTGCATGCTTTAAGTCAGTGACCAGTACATGGTTCCACTTTCCTTGAAGCCAAAATGCATAGGCCCAGGGGTCAAGGGGCAGACATGAGGGCATCTCCGCTCACCATCATTCCAAATTACCTACTGGAGGATTTGTGCCTTCTTTGTCCTTGACTGTGGCATCTTTAATGTTTGGGGGAGGAGGGCTTCCTTTAGGGAATACACATATGTTTCCTCTAAGTTGGAAGTGTATCCCCGATCGTGTTGAACTTGGCACGACTTAACCAAAAGGCAGAGAGGGGTCAACTACACTAGATATAGGGTGATTAGTTTGGACTACCAGAAGGAAAGTAAGTTCCTGCAATGCAATGAGGGGTGAGCAGGAAGACTATGACTGAAATCCAGGGGATTTGCTGGATGTCTCAAAGTGCTCCAAGGCCCAATAATGACTGTTGATGGGAAAGTAGGTAACACTGCAAACATCAGAGCAGTAGGAAGCTCAGCTGCATAGAACTCCCTGTCAGATAACCCTAATCTGCCACAGTGCTGGCCTGTGGTAAAGAACATGGAGGCCAGGTGTGGTAGAACATACCTGAATTCCAGCATAAGGAAGGATCCCAGCTGAGGCAGGATCATAAGTTCAAGGCCAGTCTGGGCTACACAGCAAGACTTATCTCCAAGAAGAAAAAAAAAATGGAGCTGGACACCAGTGGCTCATACCTATTATCCTAGTTACCTGGGAGGCTGATACCAGTAGGATTGTGGTTCAAGGCCAGCCTGGGCAAACGGTTTGAGAGACCCCCATCTCTAAAATAACCAAAATGAACTGGAGGTGTGGCTAAAGCGGTAGAGTGCCTGCTTTGCAAGTGCAAAGCCCTGAGTTCAAATTCTGGTTCCTCCCCCCACAAAAAACACCGTGGAAGCGTGTGGAAAAAGGATTCATGAATACCATCTTAGTCTACAAACATGAGGGCCATTGTAGTTTTCTGTGCCCCTTGTTGTCCTAAAGCATCAGTAATGACTAATGTTCTAAGTTGGCTTCCAGGTGAGTATAGCCAAAGGATGACAAGGAGAAGGTGTTGATGAGATTGTTTCTCCTGTCGTGAATGAGGGGTTTTCCCCCTTTATTGAAGAAAAATTGAGGTGAAATTCACACAACATAAAACTGATCACTTAAGAGTATTTCGTATATAACACGATGTTGTGCAATCATCCCCACACCCTATTTCCAACTTTTTTATGCCCTCAAACAGAAATCCTGTAATCATTATGCAACAAAGACATGAGTTTTTCATCCAAAGACAAAAGTAGATGCTGAGGGGTGGAGGAATGACTGTTTGGAAGTCTTGTTTGCCTTCTAAATTCACTCATTTGGTCTTCCTTCCTCTGTGGCTTTCAGTTGGACTTGACACCACAGGCACCATCAGACTCAAAGAAGTGAGGACATTTATCCCCAGCTCCCCACCCCCAGCAGGGACTGTGTTCTGCTACCTATGGCATAGCTCTAGCTAGGCAGTCCCTCCCCTCTCCCCTTTTCACCTCTACATTTTGTTTGTTTGTTTAATCGTTTTTCTTTTTAGACAGGGTCTTGCTTGCTATGTAGCCCACTCTTGCCTTGAACTTGGGATCTTCGTGGGCTGCCATGCTTGGTGCTCTAGGAGTAGCGTGCCCTGCTAAGCCCCAACCTTGATAGCTTCCTGTAACCCTGCTCACACCCTTTGAGTATACCATCATTTCCTGCTGGGAGACCAACACAGGAATATACAGTATGGTTCTCCCTTCAGTCTTTTTCGGCACTGCCCACTTCAGACTTCATGAGTGGAACAGCTCTATACTGAGGTTCCAGGCTGGAGGGCAAACTCTCTAGGACAGCCCAGGTTCCGAGGGGAACTGGGGAGTGCACCAGGGCCCCATTGCCCTCTGGTGGTCAGTTCCTGGAAATATAGTTAGGGATCCAACCTCTGCAGAACTGTACCCACTACACACCTAAGCACCTCTCATCCAGGCTTCACTGACTTTCCACTATCTTTAGTTTAAGGACCAAAATCTTTTGGTGGTACTGGGGTTTGAAATCAGGGTTTCATGCTTGCTATTCAAGCACTCTTCCACTTGAGCCACACCTCCAACACTTTTTACTCTGGTCATTTTGACGATAAGGTGATCCTCACCCTTTGCTCACCTTTGCTCAGGTGATCCTATATTAAGCTTCCCATTGTCACTGGGATGAAAGGCACATGCCACCATATACAGCTTTTCTCTTTTAAGATGGGGGAGGGGGTTCGCAAACATTTTTGCCCGGGCTGGCCTGGAACCATGATCTTTCTCAACCTCCCAAGTAGCTAGGATTATAGGTGTGAGCCACCAAGTCCCAGCTAATGACCAAAATCTTAATTATGAACTTAAGGCCCCAATCTTGCCTCTCCTGCTGTCACTCTGACCCAGTCACACTGGCCTTTTTTCAAATCCCAGGGTGTTTGTATGTGCAGCTCCCAATAAGAATATCTGGACCTTTCTGAGACCTTCTCCATCTGGTGACCTCAGCACATGAGACAATCCTCCTATAATGTCACATACTCAGGAGAGTCCTCTCAACAGCCCCCTTGTCTTTTATTCACACCACTCACATGCACTGGGTTTTCCACAGCTGCTCTTCTGCACCAGGTGGGGTGCTCCCAAGGGCAGGTGCGTCCTGCCCAGCTCACTGCTGTGTCTCCAGAGCCTGGCACATGGGAATGACGACACCAGCAGCTAACGGTAGCCAAGTGTTTCTGTGCCAGCCTCAAGTCCCTCGTTCTTAGGAAGCAGCCCAGACTTTTATCAAAAACTCACATTGATTTATTAGAATATGAAAAAGGTTCAGTTTCTTCTGTACAGGTGGTAGAGCGGCAGCAGTTGCGGTGGCTTTGTGCATGGTTGTCGATGTCATCTTTCATGGCGACTCCTGCCCAAAACAGCTCTTTGCATGGAGAGGAGAAAGACAGATGGGCCGAGCACCCATGGCCCTGTCCCTGGGAGAGGGACACTGACTATTGCACGATTCTGGAGTGGGAGGGGAGACAGATACCCATAGGCCTGGTCCTGGCCATGGTGGTGGGGGTGTAGGGAGTGGGGACCCAGGATTCTGTCCACTCCAGCAACTCTGCCCAGAGTGGGAGACCCTCAGGGAAAGCCCTCTCCCTTGGAGCTGGGCTCCACAGCAAGCTGGATACGCATGAGAGTGAGAGGCCTGGTGTAGGGGCAAGTGTGGGGGGGGAGAGAGTAAGAAAGAATAGGCCAGCAGGAAATGAGGGTCAGGCCCAAGGGCAAGGCAGGTGCCAGGGAACTCTGTGCCTGTGAGGTTGGAGAATCACGACAGGTGGGAGCCACAGCCGAAATCAGAGCCTTGGACAAAAGTTAAAAGCCCAGCAGGCAGAGGACCAATTTGGGAGAGGGTGTCAGACACACAGGCACAAATGAGGAGGCATGATTCTCTGGAGCAGAAGGCTGGGGTGAGAGGGGCTGAGCTCTGACCTGCCAGGGATTTTCAGATATCCTAAAACCAGGAGTGCCTCTGTGCAAACAGTATCAGATGTGGAAGTGTAAATCAAAATAGAAAGGTAGTACTTTCTGGAGCCCCAGACAGTCCCTCCCCCTGGTAGTAGCCCCAGAAAGGCCCAGTGGTCCTCATCACCCAAGTCACTTCACTGTCTAAAGCACCCCTGCTCCAGGCAGAGAAGCTCAGAGATGCCCCCAGCCTGCAGCTCTGAGCGAAGACAGCTTGGGTGGCCAGGTTGCCACAGCTGGCAGGAGTGGGCTGGGACTGCCATGGGTTGCTAATTCCTGCCCCTGGTTTCCTCAAATAAAAGAGGGCCTGGCCAAGAGCAAAGGAGGCCTCAGTTCCTTCCTTTCCTGGCTGGGATCACTATGGAGCCACAGGCTCTTTGGTTAGAAAGAAAGATTGGTCTGAATGAGGAGGGTGCTGGAGTAGAGGGAGGAGTCTTGTGGCCTGGGAGACTAAGGCCTGGTCCGAGTATGGGATAGCCTGGATCTGCAGGAGCAGGGCCTGCCTCACCAGCCCAGCAGTTCTGCCAAATAGATTTGGAAGGCAGTTCTGGTGGGAGGGGGCGCTTCCCAGGAGGCAGGGGGAAGCCGTGCTGCTGTGGGGATTGTGGACCCAGCTGCCATGCGCTGGGGAGGAAGGACAGGGCCAATCCAGGTCAGCAAGGGTGAGGGAGTCCCCAAGCTCTCCCCCAGTCCCTGCTCTGATGGGAGAGTCTATGGGATAGGTGCTGCCCATTGGCCTGGCGCTACTGTCCCTTGGGGATGAAAGGCTCCCCTTCCCCAGGCTCAGGGTTGGGGCCTGGGTCACTGAGGCAGCGTTGTATCCTCTGGGAGCTGGGGCTGTCACTTGGCCCAGGGGTGAAGACATCGTCAGTGCCTGGGGACGAGGGCTCCTTGGTCCGCATCATAATGACTCCATCCTCATCCTCATCCTCCTCAGCCACCCTTGTTGGATCCCGGCTTAGCCCCAGGACCTTGCCCTTCAGCTCCTCATTCACCAGGTCCACAGACTCGGGTGACTGTGGGGAGGCTGGGTCGATGGTGATGACTGGCAAGTCTGCCTTTGGTTCGTAGGCCAGAGGGTCTGGGGACCGAGAGCAAGGCACAGGTTGGGTTCTGCCCTGAGCCCTGTCCAGCAGGCATCACGCCTCAAGAGCCCCCTCAGCCTGTGTCAGCAACTCCCAGGACCTTTCTGTGAATGCAGCCATTCTGTTGGGCTTCAGAGCCCTGCCTGCACAGGATTCAGTGACCACTTCATCTCCAGCCTCTCTTCCCTCAGACTGTTTCTCTCCTTGGACCAGGGGCTCCCACAGATTCCCTCCACGGGTTAAGAATTAGGGTTCTTCCGGAGTCAGGGCCTGCCCCAGGGGCCCAGGTCTGTCCTTATTCCCCTTCATGGGCTGGAGACCCTGCCCCTCTGCCAGGCACCCCGTCTGCCCCCAAATGCCATCACAGTCCTCACTGGATTCTCCACTGGGAGCACCATGTGCCTAGGGATGACAGCAGGGCCATTTGGCCACTCTGACAACCCCTAGCCCTACCTGAGGTAGATGTGGCTCATAGCTTGGGAGGAGGTGAAGAGATCAGAAATCAGAATGGGAGAGGCCTGGCCTCCCCAGTGGCTCTCTGGGGCCCATTTCTGTTGGCACCTCAGCCTCGGGAGGCAGTAGCACAGAGTACCCAGCCCTGAGGCCCCTCTGCAGGCCTTACCTGAGCCAATACGGGCCCGTGACATAGTGGGTGAGTCCAGCTTGTGGGCCGGCACTGTCAGGTAGTTGTTGATCTAATAAAGAGGGAGGAAAAAGTGAGCACAGGCAGCTAAAGTGGGGAGCTTCTCTGCACAGCACCCAAGGCCAGTAGTTCCTCATCAGCCCTTCCTTGTGCCTGCACCAGCACCCATGCTGGCAAGTAAGAGGCTCCCAAGTGCTTGTCCCAGGCTCTCAGGAAGCTGTGTGATCTCCCTGGGCAGCCTCAACTCCAGCCCTACCTGCTCCTGGGGTTCCAGACTAAGAAACCAACTCAAGGGGGGACACCTGGGCCCTGGATGGACCTAGGTATCTCAAACACAACCTTCCCTAAAAACCTTGTTCCTTCCTTGAGATCCCTATGGTGGACACTACTCCCAACCACTCCACCAGAAGCTTGACTCTTTCATTTTTCCTTGACCACCCTCAAACTAGTAACCAAGCCTTGCTAGTTCCATTTTCTCAGTATCCCTTAAGCCCACCTCCTCTTCTCCCTCTCCTGTCATAGCCCTAAGGCCCTAATCTAGACCACCCCTATCCCTTCCTCTATTACCTCCCCCAGGTCCCCATAAAGCTCAAACCCTCACACCATCAACAAGCCTCAAACTCCTCAGTTTCTAGAATAGGCCAATTTCCTCAGAAGACCCTGGGGGAGCTTGCGATGTGGTTGTGGGACACAACAAGATTCCCCAGAAAAGACAGGGGCCTGCTGCAGACTGGCTCACACCTTCTGTTCCAGCTGCCGGGCCTTCTGTCTCCGGAGCAGCATCTGGTTCCAGGCCTCCTCGTAGGGGTCAGCCACGAGTGTGTGTCTGTTGTAGGACCGCAACTGTGAGAAGAACTGCTGTCAGGGCACAGCAGGCCCTGGAAGCTGTGGGCACGTGTGCAGGGTGGGGTAGGGCAGTATTGCAGGCAGACAAGGGCATGCAGGGAAGGCTGCAGAAGGGAGCATGTGGTTCCTTTATCGGAGCCAGGCTGGGGCAGCCCCTCACCCGCTGCCTGGTCTTTTGCAGGTTGTTCCTCAGGATTTTGCGGATCTCCTCCTCCTTGTCCTTGGACAGTGCTGGCAGGATGCGCTCAGCAGTCAGGGACTTGGGATGGATGTTCCTGACACAACAGGGCACAGGTTAGGTCCTCATTCTTATGACCCTGGAGCCATTGGGCTGGGCCAGAAGGAGGCTAAGCTAGAGATGGCCCAGGTAGGTGGCCAAAGTCTCAGGCCCTTAGCGTAGCCCTGAAAATCTCACACCCACTCTGACTGGACAACAGGATTCCCCTGGTGGCTGTTCCAGACTGGGGACTGGGAGCTGGCATGTGGGTGCAGATGCTGTCCCGGTTAGCCACTGACACTCACTGCATAGAGACGGTGGAGACAGCAGAGGGGATCTTGCCCATGCCCCCACTTTCCACCAGCTCAATGGCCTGCTTCATCTCCATCTTGTGGTAGAAGGCAATGAGCTGGGGCTCCTTGGAGCGCTCGCCGGCTATCAAACACTTCTTCACATACTTCTTATTAAACCGATTAAGCCTGGTGGGAGGAGGAGGGAGGGAGATGGATGGAGCCAGCTTCTAGGTATGGGAGATGCCCAGGCCTCAGGAGACCCTTACCTGCCCCTCCCCCCACCCCCATCCCCATCCACCAGGCCTGGCACCTACTTGTCCTTCCAGTGGTGGTGGCCGTAGTGGCCACAAATGTCCTCGATGCCTGTCAGAAGGTGGTCCAGGAACTGAAATGGGCCCAGGGCCAAGTCAAGTCTCACTATTGGATTCCATCCCTACTCAGACCTCTGAACAAGTGTCTTTTCCTCCCCACCGCAAACACAACCCACATCTCCAGCCCAACTCTGGCTCTGCTCAGCCTGGTCTTGCAGTTCCAAAAGTAGCCAGGAGGTGGCACACACCTCCCAGTCATCCTGAAGCCCAGTAGAATGGTCATCACAAACCCTCTCTCCTGGAGTGAGCTAAGCCCCTTACTCTGAACCCACTTGAATTCAACTGAAGGCAGAGATGGCATAACACCTCCTTGGGCTCCCAGCTGCTAACATCACACCATCCCATCAGCTAGACCCTAGCAGGCAGCCTCAAGGGACTGAGGGACCACCCAGTACTGAGATAAGGTGAACAAAGACAGAGACTTAAGACCTAGCTGCTCCCTGAGCCTCCTCCAGTAACTGAAGGTCCAGCCCCAGCTTCCAGTACCTGTGTGTGGATCTCCTCATTGATGGAGCGCTTTGTTTCTTGCTTTTTCTTCACAGCCAACAGGTCTACCAGGGGCCGAATGGTCATGCCCTGTGGGACAGGTAGATGTCAGGTAAGGGTTTTGCCACCTTGGCAGAGAGGTCCTGAGGTGAATATACCCTTTCTGCTCTGAGGTCCTCAAAGTCCCAGGACTGAAGGGTGTTAGGACTCCCCACCTCCACCCCAGCACTTAGAAAAAAGTCAAGTCGTTAAGGCCACTTCTTCCTGGAGGTCTGACAGCTCAACCAACTGAATGAGCTTCACACTGTATATCTAGTTGGGGACTGAGTTCAAATGTGGGCTCTACCACAGACCCACTCTGCAACCCCAAGTAAGGAGTTGGTCCTTGAATACAAGGAGAACCACCTCTGATCTGCCTCCTTCACAGGTTGCTGGGAGGCTCTAGGAATAACAGATGTAGCTAATTTCACTGCACACTTGCCATGTGACAGTTGTGTTTCACAAGTATTACTCTTTAGTGCCTATAACACCCCTAAGAGGTACTTCCCTTCATTGTTCCCATATTATAGATGAGGAAACTGAGGCTCAGAGAGGGTGAGCAACTTCTAAAAGTCCCATAGAAGTAGTAGAGTCAAGAATCAAAACTAGGTAAACTAAACAGGGGCAAACAGTTTACGAAACCTTATCTTGAAAAGACTCAACAGAAAAAAGAAGTGGTTGAGTGGCTCAAGTGGTAGAGCATCTACCTAGCAAGCATGAGGCCCTGAGTTCAAACCCCAGTACCACCAAAAAACAAAAACCAACCAAACAAAAAAAACCTAGGTAGGTTGGCTCCGGAGGGAGGTCCCCAACCAATATGACCTTCAATACAAGTGGGCGGGGGGAGAAATGACCCAAGCCTTGTATGCACATATGAATAATAAAATTAAAAGAAAAATACAAGTGGGCTTGAAAAACCATTAGTATATATGACTGCAAAGTCAAAGTGAGACAGTATTTTCGATGATGGAATCAGGGCTAGAGAACCAGAGGCAGCCCCTTTCCTTTTAAATGATGGAAAATAAGCCCACCTCCAGGAAGTCTCCCATTTTTTTCTCTTGAGAAGCCAAAGATGTGACCCATCTAGGGCTTTGTGAGGATTAGTGTCCAGAAAAGACAGAAGGAAGGCAAAGAAACGGAGGCCTAGGCAGAGTTTCTCCCCTACCCAAAGTCCCACAGTTAAGTACAGGAGAACAATTTTCACCATTCCAGGCTGGGCTTCCTTGAGGGATGGGGGTGAGGACAAGGATAGGGCTCTCAGCTAGCTAAGGCTGGGTCACTTAATGCATACAAATCACTGACCAGGGTATGGTGGTGCCTTCCTATAATCCCAGTACTAGGGGAGGCTGAGACAGGAAGATGGAGAGTTCAAGGCCAACTTGGGCTACACAGAAATTCAGCAAGAGCCTGTCTCAAAAAATCAAGAATCACTGAGCAGTGAGGGCTGGAAGGATTCTTGGAGACCATCTAGCCTAGTCCCATCACTTCACAAATGGGGAACTAAGACACGCAGACTGTGTCAGAGCTAGGGCTGTTTACAGGTCTCCAGTTGCCTGGCTCGGAGACTTGACCAGTTGCCCATGCTGTGCTGTTCCCATTTTACAGAAACTGAAGAGGGGTGGAGAAAGAGTCAGGTCTTGGGCCAGCTGACTGCTCACATCTTTTAAGTGGTTCCTAATGAAGTTGGGCAACATTCTGGCATTTTACACACAGATCACTCCCTTTACAATGACTCGTTCTAATTGTCACTTTACAACTGAGGAAACTGAAGCCAAAAGTGGGGGGTGGCTTGCCCAAGGTCATGCAGCAAGAGCTGGGACTATAACTCAGGGCCCCATTTTGCACAACACTTTCCTCTTTCCATGGGAATGAGGCAGGGCCTGTCCCACCCGGGCTCAGCACCTGCACAAAGACGGTGAAGAAGATGACGGTGATGATGGCAGTGAGGAACAGGTCACACATGGGGAAGTGCTGCTTGTCCAGGAGATAGCCCAGGGAGAAGGCGATGGCCCCTCGCAGGCCCCCGTAGGCAATGATGAACTGGTCCTTGGGAGTCAGTTTCACAATGCGGAATTTGTTGATGAACCAGGTCAGGCCCAGCACGCCTGCCAGGGAAGGAGGCAGAGGAGGGTTGGCTGCTCAGCACCTCCTGACTCTGCACCAGGGACTTCCTTATGTATCCCAGAAGCCTCCACCACTAAGCTCACCCACCTCACTCATTTCCTGGGTCCCTCAGCCTAGGGGGCTCCAAGTTCCTCAATCTAAGAGCAAGGTGGATCCTTAACGGGGCTCCCCAACCTGGATGTGCTTTGGACACATCACAGAGTCCTCCAGTGGCCGGGAAGGGGAGAGGGAAAGTCGAAACAAGGGTGGTCATGAGTTGCTACTTGTTAAATAAGATGGGCACATGGAGAATTATCCTATTCTCTCTGTTTTCCTATGGATTTGAAATTTTCCATAATAAAACATTACTTCAAAATGCAGGCTGGGTCCAACCTCAACCCACAAAAACCAGAATCCCTAGAGGATAAGGAAAAGCAACACCAGGATTTTAAGAATTGCTCCAAGCAAATGTGACACCAGCCAGGCTTGGGGACCACAGACTTGGCCCTGATCTCAGGGGGATGTGAGACCCAGGACAGCCATGGAGTAAGGCCACCAGGCACATAGGAGTGGAACCTAAGGATCCAGGGCTCAGAGGTGGGATTAGACCTTCCACACATGACACCTCACACATCACAGCCCTTCCACACACTGCACCCACATACACCCCAAAGCCCAGCTCCTATATACACCACCCCATACACAACATCCTAGTCCTTCCACACATTATACCACATCTAGATCTCCCCTCTACACAACACTGTATACACTTACACACACATTAGTCCAGCACCTCCACTCAATGCACTGACACACACTGCACCTCACACACATAGCACAGATACTACAGCTCAGCCCCTACATGTGTCATACCACACCCAACCAAAATGCACCACACTCACCTCCACAGCCCTAAAAAACCACCCACAACCGCATACATCCATGACACCCTAGCACTCCCATTGTACCACACATCCTCCCCTCAGCTTAGCCCCTCTACACAACACACTGTATATCCCCCCAGCCCCCCACGGCCTAGGTCCGGCCCTCACCCAGCACTCGGGCGATGAGGCAGAAGAGCAGGGTGCTAATGACAAAGGTCCAGTTCCAGTGATGGGAGCCGGCCACAGTGGAGACACCAAGGAAGATGAAGATGAGGGTCTCGCTGACGCTGCTCCACATCTTCAGGAAATACTTGATGGTGGTGTGGGACTTGTGGGAGATGTTGGCCTCCACGTACGGACGCATCACCACCCCTGAGGCGATGAGTCTGGGATGGGGAAAGCAGGATTCAGGAGAGTGGCTGAGCAGCCCCTTCCCACAGCCCTCTGCTGCCAGGGGCTGCTGTGCTAGAATAAACAAGTGTCTGTTTAGGGGAAGCTCTTAGGGGCCAGACACCTGTGTGCTTTGTTCACCTGTTCTCACTCGATTCACACATCAAGCCCACAGGGCCGGGCACATTCTTGTATTTTTCATGAGAGGTCTGACTTTCGCAGAAATAAAGTCACCTGCCCATTGTCATACTGGAATGAATAGCAGTGCTAAGATGCTATGGTCTTTCTAACTCCAAAGTCTGACCCTTCTCCCCAGGGAGAGTCGATGACATACTCCATGATCTCTCAGGTCTATTCCCTTCAAATATGACTCCCTGCCACCATGCACAGGCATCTTCCTAGGGAACTTTACTCTAATAGCAGCCCGAGACCACCCACACTCCACCACACTGGGCTCTGCTTTTGCTGGCCAGGCTTCCTCCTGCTGCCCAGAATCTCCAGTTCAGCCCAGCCTCTCTGCTTCTGCTGTTTTTCCCATTGGGAACCCCTCTGCACCTCAATGCCTCTCCACAGACCACCTCTCATAGCGGATGCCTCAGGACCTTCAAGACTCAGGCCTGAGAAGCCTTTCCTGGGGCGGCTGAAGAGAGGAATGCATGAGAGCCTGTGGCAACTCCAATACCAGGACTCCCTTTGAGGCAAAGGAAGGGAAGAAGTGGCAGGGCTGACACTTCCCAGTGCTTCTGAGGACAGCCCAGGGTGCTGCCTCCTGTGCTCTGGGCTAGCCCCAACGCTCTCAGCCAGGAATGCTCTCTCCAAATTCCCAAATCCCACAAAGCCCAGCAGAAGTACCTTCTAAGAAGCCTGATGACCTTGGTCATTTAAGTGGCTATAATGCAGGTCTGGAGCCTGGAGCTCCTGTCTCATGTCTGGAGCTGGAGGCTGGGTCCTGGGAGATCCCTGGTGACCTCCTGAGGCTGGGAACTTCATGCTAGCAACCTCCCCAGCCAAGCCCACCTCCCACCACACCCAGACTCACGCCATGATGCCTGAAAGGTGGAAGAGCTCGGCTGATAAGTAGGCCATGTAGCTGTAGAGGAAGACGAAGAGCGGCTCGATGACACGAATGTGGGAGGTGAATCGAGAGGTGAAGGCTGCGATGACCCCGTAGACCACGCCCACAAACACCCCACCCAGGGCCACTACGAAGAAGCTCAGGAAGCCGAGGACTATGTCCACGATGCCCACTTGATCATAGTTGGCAAACTCTTCAAAGAGGTGATACAGGACCTGGGGAGGGGTGTAGGCTGGTGGGCAGGAAGGCAGGGCCCTGGACCCACAGCTCCCTGGAGTCCACCCAGAATGATCCCATCCCCTCTATGACCATGGCCACAGAACAGGCCATGTGGTAACAGAGAAACCCTAGTACCAAGCAAGTGCTCAGAACCATGGTGTGGAGGTCAAGGGGGCTTGCCTGGGGCCTGTCACACCATGCTAGTTATGAGCACAAACCTTGAAGCCAAATGGCTGGGTTAGAATCCTGGCCTTGCCACTCCCTAGCTGTGTATACAGCATCAATTACTCAAAATCCCTGTGCCTTAGTTTTCTCATCCACAAAATGGAGACAAAGAGTGCCTATATTACAGGGCTCCTATGAGGTTTCAGTTAGTAGTGTTTAGCACTGTGTCCAGTGCAGTGCTGGTACCAATGGTACTATCAAGTCTGCCTATCTCACTAACCTCGCCCAAACCACACCTCTCTCTGGATTTTAGTCTTTTAGTACAAAACAGGGAAATTCAGACAGTGAACTAGAATAGGATTTCTTTCTTTTTCTTTTTTTTGGTGGTACTGGGAGTTGAACTCAGGGCCTAGGCAGTCACACTAACACTTGGGCCATGCCCACCAGCCCTTTTTTGCTTTAGCTTCTTTTCAGGTAGGATCTTATGTTTTTCCCTGGCTAGCCTGGACTGTGATCCTCCTACCTATGTCCCCCACATAGCTGGGATGACAAGCACGTGCCACCATGCCTGGCTTGTTGAAATGGGATCTTGCTAACTTTTTGCTTGGGCTGGTCTTGAACCATGAACCTCCTGATCTGCCCCTGAGTAGTTGAGATTATAAGCGTGAGCCACCATGCCCAGCCAAGAGCAGGATTTCTTAACTGCTCAAAATACATGTGGCCAGGCCATACCTATTTAACAAGCTCCCCAGGTGGTATAATGAACAGCCAAGTTCAGATGCTATGGAACTGTAGGCTCAAAAGGTTTCCTGTCCTCTGGACTAGGAAATAGATGGACCCCATAACACTATTATCAGATAGTATAAAGCCCTTTGGACAATATTTATTCTACTCAACACTCAAAAACCTGTTGAGGTAGGCAGACCAAGGATACCTATTCCCTTGCTAAACTGTGGCTCAGAGAGGTAAAATCACATGCCAGAGGACCCCCTGGGAATAGGACTGGGCCCAGAACTTATTCTGATTGCCTTGGGATGAGGCCTCTCCAATGGGCTCAACTTCTGGGTTCTACTTTCCTAGAGGCAGCACCATGGCTCACTGGCCTACTTGAGTCCAGCACTAGACAGCTCTGCCAGGAACCAGATGGGGAGTTTCCAGGCCAGGTAGGAAAGGAGAAAAGACCTAATAATTCATGAGAGGTAAACTTTTCAAGTCTCCAGCACTTGGGCAATCCCTGGAGGTAGGGATAAGGGGCAAGAAGGGTGACAGGGCACTGAACTGGTGCCAAGAAGTGTAAGGGCAGCCTTTCTGCCTGGAAGTAGGGCACTCACACTGGTGCTCAGAACTCCAGAAAAGGCCCAATTTTGGGTCAGGCAGGAAGGGCAGGTGCTAGGTTCTAACCAGGCCCCAGAGCTGCCTGGACCACAGCTGTCTGAGAGACAGGGCAGGGTAGCAGCAGCAGACAGCCTTGTCTGAGGTACACTCAGCCCTGGGCTACCCGAACTCACTCCTAGCCTGAGGAGACTCCTAAGTCCTTGTGGTCTGTCACATAGGCTCCTGGGGTGGGCCTGGCACTTTTGTCAGAGGCATTTCAGAGAGGCAGTGTGTCGTAGGTCTGTGTTTGTGCTCTGAACGAGATGTGTAACTTTGAACCCTGGCTACATCACTCATCATCTAATGTAACCCCTCAGTGTCTCAGTTTCTTTTCATCTGGGAAACCTGAGATAACAGTGTCCACCTCATGAAGTTACTGTGCAGATCAGATGGAATACCCCCTGGGCAGGAAGCACTTGAACACCACCAATCGCCACCACAGCCACCACCTTTGGGAGGCATGGCTGTGAGTCCTAAGTGGCTGGACTGAGTTATGTACTTGACACAGTGGTGTCAACTTGAACTTACATTCACACCTGACTGGGACTGGGACTGTGTGCTCTGGCATCCACTGGCTTCACAGATAAGAATGAGCAGAATTCCTGTAAGAACCCAGGAGGGTTACTGGCTGAGAACTGTGAGTCCTGCATCACAGCTAGGGAAACTGAGGCTTCTGTGGTAACCCTGGGAAAAGGCTGGTGCTAGAAGAGATTAGGAGAGGCCTGCCTGCTCGGGTCCAGCTGCTGCTCTACCCTGCCCCATGAGGAGCCAGTGAGAAGAGGAAAGGAAGGAAAAGGAGGCCCAGGCTGTAGCAACTGAACACCACAGTCTGTATCTATTTGAAGTCTGTATCTATTTTGTGTCCCGAGGGGTGTGGACAGTGAGCGCATGTATGAGCAGGGATGGGCACGCAGACCTGTTCTTGTATTTTCCTGTGTGTGTGGCTGCTCTTTGAGAGGTCCAGCTTGGGAAGACATGAACCTGCGTGTATATACACACACCTATTTCCTGAGGAAACTGGCTGGGAGCATGTGTGCAGGCACGTACAATGCTGCTATATGCAGGTTCTGTATTGCTTGCCTTCATGAAGCCCTGCAAGGAAAGCACTAACACTCTGCCATTTTGCAGCTGTTAAAGGTGGGGTCCACAGAGGCATTAGTCACTTTGCTTAAGGTCACACAGAAAGTGGCTAACCCATTCTAGGCTTGTGGGGGGTAAAGCTCCTTTCACAATCTCTGCCCCCAAACTCTGCACATATCAAAGTCTAACTTAAGACAGCCACACTCCAGGGGCCAGGCATGGAATTCCAGCTACTCAGGAGACAGATTGGGAGGATCGAGGTTTAAGTCCAGCCTGGATGAAAAGTTTATTCCCCACCTAAACAAAAGAGCATGGTGTGATGGTGTGTGCCTGTAATTCTAGCTAAAAGGAAGACCATAAGTAGGATGATAAAGGTCCAAGGCCAGGGTCAGGGAAAAGACCCTCTTTGAAAAACACCTAAAGCAAAAAGGGCCCTGGGAGCATGGCTCAAGTGGTAGAACACCTGCCTACCAAGTGCAAGGACATGCCTTTAAACCCCAGTACATCAAAAGGGGGAAACTGAGGCACAAGGAGAATAAGTAATTTGGCTAAGACCACATCGAAAGGCAAGTTGAAGAGGGAGCATCTGACCAAGGAAGGCCAAGAGCTCAGGCTCTGAAGTGAGATAGAGCTGGTTCTGCCATATTCTAGCAAGTTGTTAACTCCTTTGGGCCTGTTAACTGCTCTGTAAAATGAGTACCATAAGCTTCTCCTCAGGTTGCCCTGCATGCTCACATGGTGTCTGGGACACAGCAAGGATGAATGGATGCTAGCTGTTTTTTATTACTGGTATTAGCAGGCACATGAGGGATTGGGCCTGGGGCCCATCTGCATGTGGGTGCAGCCACAGGCCCCTCACCACAGTGACGGCATCGTTGAGCAGGGACTCCCCGAAGACCAGTATGTGCAGCAGCTCGTTGATGTGGATCTCCTCAAAGACAGCCAGCACAGCCACTGGGTCCACGGCGGAGATGATGCTGCCAAAGAGCAGGGTGTCGAGGAGGCCAATGTTGTTGATCTGTTCACCGCCCACAAGGCACACAGCATACATGAGGCCGCCCAGGAAGAAGGCGTTCCACAGCGTGCCCACCACAGCGAAGATCAGGATGGTCCCCAGGTTCTCCGTGAACTGCCGAAGCGGCAGGAAGTAGCCGGCATCCAAGATGATGGGAGGCAGCAGGAAGAGGAAGAAGACCTCTGACTGCAGGAAGGGGGGCGTCTCGCCCACGCCCTTGATCAGGCCCCCCACCAGCAGCCCCACCACAATCAGCAGACAGCTCTCTGGGACGATGCTCGAGATGGTGGGGATCACATGAAAACCTGCGGAGGGCGAGAGAACGGGAGGCCGTGGGCTTTCGGGCGAGCCAGAACAGAGGTTGGGGACAGGACGGGGGGACCAGAAGAGCACTTGGAGAGAGGTGCACAGGCTTGGTCTCAGAAGGCTGCTCTGTTAACTCTGAGCCTCAGCTTCCTCGCCTGTAAAATGGAAGGGATAATACCAGCTTCACAGGGTTGTGGTATAAAACGATGTTTTTAAAGTGTTTTTTTCAAAGGACATTCACATGCTGTCTCTGTCATAAAATATTAGAAAGCAGCGGCTCTCTATGCCTCCAGAGGCAGAAATTATAAACTGATTTCCAAGGTGCCAAGTATCAAAGGCATAACCTCCACCTGAACCCATGGCATCTTTCCAGGCATGAGGTCAGGAAGGCTGACTTGAGTTCTGAAGGAAGAATAGTAATCTAAGGATTCTGTCTGAGGGAAGGTGGTGGTTGCCTGTCATGGAAATGTTTAATCTGAAGCAGAAACAAATGGTAGATAAGTGGCATAGGAGATAGAAGAAAACAGAGAAGAATCAAAGAACATCGATGCAGGAAGGAACTTAGGGGCATTAAGGCCCAGGATCTGCAAACTTGTAGAGTACACACAATGATCTCCAATCTCAGACTTGCAGGCAAAAGACACCTGTGCCTTATCGTGGTCTGCTTTCCCGCGAGGCAAGGTAGGTCTCCAAGAGCCCCAAGGACTCAACAGCCATCAATTTCCTCATGTGAGACAAACGGTATGTGCAGCCCTGCTTCCATCCCAATCCCACCCACTCAAAAGATGGGGCCACTGAGGCTCAGAAAGGTGAAGGGACTTGCCCAAAGTCACATAGCAAATTAGTAGCAGAACCAAGAGGGAACCCAGGTCTGACCCCAGGTCCCATCAGGACATAGTAGGGGCTGAACAAATGTCTGATTTGAAAATTCACAAGGCTGAACCAAGATTCCTAAGCAGCCCCCCGGCCTCTGTTTTCATTGTCCAGAGATCTTTGGGAGGGAGAGGGGAAATTCCTCCCCTGTCTAAGCCCCTCCTACTCTCAGGTAATGACCAGGGCAATGCTAGCACGGTCACAAGTCCAGGCCCACATTATCCAGGCCCAGGACCCAGGCGTGGGGCCAAGCGCTTAGAGATTCTCAAAACACATTTCTATCATAGAAAAAAAGTATGTCTCCATCCTAGGCTGCGAGGGGACTTCAAAGCTAACTAGTACATTTTCCTGGTTTCAAGACAGACCTGACCAAAAGTCACCTCTTGAGTCTACAGACCTCTTGAGTCTGTAGAGTCTACCAGTAACACCCAGTGTTCAGGAGGCTGGCAACTGGACGAGCGAGGTCAGGTTGGTCCAAATCTCTTTTGCTGTACAGGATAAAGCCCGAACTTTCAGCATGCCTTTGTCATGCTTTGCCTCATGTGTAGGGGGAAGCCCCACAGTCAACCCTAATATTTCCCCCTTACTAAGTTCCTTGCAATGAACCACCAAATGAGCCACATTCTCTTTTGCCTGCTCACCTTTGCCTGGTCTACTCCTCTCTCTAGACCCTTCCTGTGCCTCCATCCCCAGGGTGGGCCTAGCTCCATGTGCTTCTGCCTCCTCCTCCTTCAGAAGGTGTTTCCTGGCCACCCTGTATCTCCAGGGCATGGGTCCTTGTCTGGTGGCTCCCTCTCTCACAACATTCAAGCCACAGTCACTGTCCATGTTCCTCTTTCCGTGGCACCAACTGAAGTCAGATAACCAGAGGAAGTAATGAGACAAGGCCAGGGCACCTCACCGAGGTGAGATAGGATGGCATGTGGGTTGCTACAGTTTGGATCCTGAATGTCCTCCAAAGGCCCATGTTTTAAAGGATTGGTCCCCAGGGTAGTGCTGTTGGGAGATGGTGGAACCTTTAAGAGGTCAGGTCTAGTGAGTGAGACGGTTTCAGGTCACTGGGTCACTTGCCCTGGAAAGGACTGTGGGGACCTCCTAGCCCCTCTTCCCTTGTTGTGTTAGCACCCTAGCTCCTGATGAAAGCATTTTTTGCACTGTAAGCCAAAATTTAAAAGTTCTTTTTCTTTTTTGGGCAATACTAGGGATTGAATTTAGGGCCTCATGTTTAGTAAGCAATCGCTCTACCACTTAAGCCACACCCAGTCCTTTTGCTTTTAGTTTGTTTTTCAGATAAGGTCTCATGCTTTTGCCTAGGTCAGCCTTGGACTGTAATCTTCCTATCTCTGCTTCCTGCATAGCTGGGACCACAGCATGTGCCACCTTGCCCAGTTTGATTTTGAGATAGGGTCTTACTAACTTTTGCCCAGGTTGGCCTTGAACCTTGTTTCTCCTGTCTCTACCTCCTGAGTAGTTGGGATTATAGGCATGTACTACCACACCCAGCCCAAAAAATTCTCTTTAAAGTTGATTATCTCAGGTATTTCATTATAAGAACAGCTGACCAATACAAGGGTTTAGAGAATTCTTACAGACACAGTCCAAAAAGCAGCTTCCCAAGGCTAGAAGTCCAGCTCCAGTCAGTTGGCCCTCCTGAGTGTCTCAGGTCCCATCCTGGAGTTAGTACCAACAGTTGCTCTGGAGAAGACAGAGTCTAAAGAAGCAGCCCAGGGCAGGCAGAGGACAACTTCTATCTTCTACCTAGCAGGGAAGGCTTGAAAAATGTCTCCTACCCTCTGTATCATCTTTCTAGTCTCAGAACTTTCCTGGCCCATGAAATGCCAGACAGTGAGCTAGAGACCCAAAGCCAAATTGGCCACGGCTCCTGCCTGGGAAGGGAGAAGGTGTGTGAAACAAGCCAAGAGTAGTAACATGAAGGATGTTCATTGTTCCTGAAGGTGTTCCACGAGCCAGTATTGTGCTGGGGCTTGGCACAGGCCGTCTCACTCAGTCCTCACACAGCCTTGTGGGGTTGGTACTGTCCCCATTCTGCACAAGACAAGCCTGGGCTCTGCAAGATGAGGTGCCTCCCTGAGTCTAAGAGGGGAGCACCACTCTCGCGTCAGTGTCTCAAACCTGGAACAGAGAGCTGCCAAGCCCTTTGCTTGAGCACCAGGATTTTCCCCAAGTCAGGCTGTACTGAGTACTGGGGACAGCGAGGTGGCTTGGGAGCTTATGGGAATGGCCAGGTTTTCTGGACCATGGGACTCTATCACAGGTAAGCACGCAGCCAGCATTCCCACAGGACAGATGAGAAAGTGGAGCTCTGACAGGAGGTAGGATGCATCCCGCCAGAACAACTAGGACTAGGTCGCAGGCCTCCTGATGAGAACAGAACACTTTCTTCTGCTTAAGCCAGCTCCCAGGGTATCTGCACTGAAGCCATCTTCCTGGCACAGACACCAACACTCCTCCCAGTGAGCAGCGGCTTCTGGGGCCTCTGGGGCAGGGCAGGGTTGGGCTGGACCCAGGCTGTGGGGGAAGGTCTGAATTTGCTTGCTCTTGCTTGGCCCCTTGCCCACAGTAGGTGGCACATTACTAAAAGGAGCTTCCAGGGGAGGGTGAAGTGGGTTTGGTCAGGAGGAGGCTCCTCAGGGAAGGGAGGAGTGCTCACAGTGTGTCCTAGCTTGTCCCGTTCCTAAGGCCCTGGCTCTACAAATCATCCCCACCCTGCATACCTGAATAGTATCCTTAAAGCACAGGAAGCTGCTAACACCAGATGTGAAAAGGGCATGGAAGAATGGATAGGGACCCTGGCATGGTAAGAAAGGGCCAGCATTGAGGAAGGCCCCAGGATGCCAAGAAATGACACGAAACTTCTAGGGCTCATATTTGTCGTGCTGCTAATGCTGCCACGATGGAATGGGGTGGACACAATTAGAATCAGATCCAGAGACATGAGAGCTGGATGAACCTCTTGGAGAGCATTTCATTCTCCATTACGTGGTTAGGGAAATGGAAACTTCAGGAGAGCCAGTGACCTGTCCACCATGAGACAGGATTCTCCAAGGCACACTGCTTCCTGTAGTGACTTAAGCCACACTGCCTCCTGGAGGCATCCATGCCACTAGAAAGAAGCAAAGAAGCAAGGTGCGGAATTGCATACCTCCAGTCAGGGGCCAAACCCTCAGGATACAGTACAGGGTTGATCTGTCCTTGAGGAGAAGAGGCCAGGAGAGGGGATAAGTGATAGTTTGAACACATGCACACACCCAGGAGCATGCAGACACGTAGGTTGGTTGGGGGCTCTCAGGCTCTCTGTAGCTGCTCTGCCCTTCACCATGAAAACATTTTATTTACATTTCTCAGACTGTCCCCGTCTGCTCAGGCTGGCCCAGTGGAACAGGCAAGGTTGTCCCAAGTCACCCTTGGTTGCTAGGGTAACCAGATACTCCTAGTCCCTTCCCACAACCCTCCCCTGGTCTAGGAAGTCAGAGGGCAGTGCTGGGAAGGAGGGTCTCCAAGGCCAACTGGCATTGGGTCACCAGGAACCCAGGGCAAGCTGGGGGCTCTGCCGCCCTACTTCCAGGCCTGAGGATTGCTTTGGGGCTGCAACTCGGCCAAGTCCCAAGGGATTCCTACTTGCACAATGATTCCATTTCTTTACTCCCTCTTCAACTGCCCTAGCAACCAGTCTCAACTACAGCAATGAAAGGCAATCCCCCACCATAAAAGCCCAGCACTGTACAGTTTGTAGTAGTGTGCTCTAATGCTTGTTATAACCTCATTTGCTTTTGACCGCAGCTCTGAGAGGACCCAATTTTACAGATGAGGAAACAAGCACAGCAAGGTTAAGCAACTTGCTCACAGTCACACAGCTGCTAACTGGTATTCAAAACCTAGGCAAGTTCAGCTCCAGAGTCTGTGTTCTTAGCCACTCACCCTATTATCCCTAGTTATATTCTTATTTTGTTTTCAAGGGGAACATGTACCTAGGACCAAAGAAGCCCAAAGCAGTTCCCAGAGAACCAGAAGGAGCCATTTTTTCCATGAGCCCTTCTTCTCCAAGGGAAGTCTTCCATGGCTGTCTTCCTCTCTGGTGGCCTAGTAAAGAGCTCACGAAGCCCGT